CTCTCTCTCTCTCTCTCTCCCTCTCCCTCCCCCCCCCCTCCAATTTGGTTTCCTTTTTTTTTTTCTTACTTTCCCACTGAAGGCAAGAGCTCCCATTTTTGTAATCAGTGTCCCAAGTGTTCAAGCTGCCTTTGTTAAACAATTGCAACACCAAGACAAGGAGCCTCCCAATGTCATGGAGACATTATTCCTGTTTCCCCAGCCAGGTTGTTAGACTGGGCAAAGGCTTGCTGCTCATTCATTGGGTTGACACACAAGCCTAGAGGGAACACACTGGAAGCTGGGAGGAAAGGAAGGGTGTGGGTTCTTCTTTTGCCTCCCCACCTGGCACTCTAGTGTGGTAACATCCTCCCACAGACAACCTAAATGCATCCGACTGCTGGGCCACGGCTCTATGTCCATCCATGCCAGGAGAGGGATTCCCTTGCTTCAGGTTTCCTCCAATAAAAAGGCATGGTATTTTATATGCTGAGCTCAGTCTGCAATCTTATCATCGTAACCTTGCATTCAGAATTTATTTTAGAACAAGTAGCACGTGATACAGTTACAAGGCAATTGACTCCGTACACATAGAAATGCTAGCACTGAGCAAGATAGTTTCCAGAATAGGTTAGTTTTAGACTGGATCCTTGCAGCCAAAGGTGGTGTTTGTGCAGTAGGACAGAACACTGTACCTTTGTACCTGAGAGCCAAAGAAGAGATCCATTCTGCACCTACAGGATCCCAGAAGCTGCAAGAAGGCATGGACCGAACCTTTTGACTTCTATGGGAAATCATACTGGTTGCTAGAATCATCTGAGACATCACTTCAGTGGGACTCTGGAGGCATGGACTTGATCTTCCTATCACCATCCAAACTATTATTTGGAAGACCACCAGATGTAATGAAGGGACTAGATCCATACTCACTGAGCCTAGAAAGGGGGGACACTGTTTTGTTTTCCTATCTCTCTTCCCTACACAGGCACCTCTGATGACCGAGGGGACAGAGCGCCCTGACCCAGAACCTGCTGCTGGAGGAAGTCCTGCATCCCTTTGAACCTGGAGACTGGGTGTGGATTCGCTTCTTCACCAGGAGCTCCCTGCTACAGCTGAGGTGGAGGGGATCATTCCAAGTGCTGCTGACGACTCAGATGGTGGTGAAAGTGGCAGAGCAGAACACCTGGATCTTACCTGGATCCACTGGTCACACGTGAAGCCTGCAATAGTAGACCACAGTGTCAAAGTTGCTGTGCCCCCTAGACTGCCACGAATCAAGTTCATGAAAGATCCAAAGACTGACCAGTGGGGCTTGAAAAACTATCTGAAAATTGTGGGCTTAGTGGTGGTGGGAATGTTTGTCTGCTGTTTTGCTCAGTGTTTATCCTCTTGCTTAGGATGCTTTAGGGAATGTTTCTCTGTCCCCAAATGAAGAGTAGTCTTTCTCCCCCCACCCCCAGGCAAATACCTTTAATGATGATGCAAATTGACAAAAAGTATAAATTTGGTTCACAAAATGATTTATCTGGGTGTGCACAGAATATTCTATTCTGTGCACAAAGGGGGATTGTGGGAAGGAAATCTTCCTCCCTCCATGCAGTCTTCCCACCATAATCAAAGCAAAAGGTGAGAAACTAAGATTAAAATGCAGCAAGAGATGCCAATTAATAACATTCCTTCCTGGCTGAAGTTTAACCAGAGGTCTCTTTGATCAAATAAGAAAGTTTAACCAGAGGTCTCTTTGATCAAATAAGAAAGGATCATTTCCGAAACAGATTACCATTTCAATCAACAAATACTAAACAAGCGGAAAACCGCAACTCAGCAGGGTACCTAACTACGGAGCGCTCCTTCCTGGAACATCGGCTAAGTGCATTTTCTCGGAATTCCTGAAGGGCACGCTTTTGCGTGCCTTTGAGGAACAATTGAGAGGCTTTCTCTGTATAAAGGGCTTTAAAGGGAGGGCTCACTGCAGCTGCCCTGACAGCTGATCCTGTACGTTTCGCTCTCGGAAATAAATCTCACCTCTGATTCAAGCAACTGCCTGCATGTTTTATTCCCGGCTCGGAAACAAACCTGGTAAATTTCTTTCTAACAATAATCAAAGGAATGTCTCAAAAAATGGTAAAAGCAGCATGACACCGTTGCAATGGAACCTCTTCCCCCCCCCCCCCCCCCCCCC